GATCTTCGCCTGTATCCTGGTAGGTCTATGTGGTCTAATGGATATGATACTCGCCTTGCAGTTTGGAATCTCACCAGAGACACGTTTTCATACAACTATTTTAGATTGATACGATTAAATATACAATCATTTTTTGTTTGTTTTTGTTTTGTTTTTTTTGGAAAGCTATCCATTTACAGTAGGCCTATCATTAAAACAATAGGCCTATACGTATTGTATGCTAAGGATGCAAGAAAAGTATATGACCTGGGTAAAGAAAATCCCCCACGTCTCCTTCTGCAGTGCCGCCATTACTGTGAACTCTCTTGGCTCAGAAATCGACGCGGAAATGGTTCCAATTCGTGACCTGGTAAGTCATTATGAATACATTTTGATAGCAATAACGTATTTTATTGTGACGTAGATCCGTTTATTACTGCTGTATGAGTATTAGCTTACAGTCGAACGAGCCAATCATTGTTCAACACGTTCCTCAACACAACGCAAGCACAAATCGACACTACAGTAGGCCTACATTTCCGAAGACCATTTAGTTTTAAAAGGTACGTATATTTTATTAAACGGTTACTTGCTTTGGACTATAACTATATTAACACTTCATTGAGAAGGTTTTTGAAATACACTCCCAAAAGATTGTAGACAGGAACATTTACTATCTAAACATCGTTTGCCGCACCCACTTCCGTTACCTTTTAGGTCGATACCAGAAACGGGATTAAGCAACGGTTCCTATTATGTGAATAGATACCCAGCATTAGATTTAGAGCGGTAGGGGAGAACGGTAGGGGGATGTCATTGTAGAGGGTGGGAAGTGTATTTGTCCGTCGATGCCTGCCGATATGCGCTTCCCATCTCCTTCTCTGAGAGGTCTGGACTTATAACTTGAATATAGGTCCGCTGTACCGTATTATCATGCGCGTTTTACCTGTAGTTAAAGACCGCCTAGATTAAAACGGTATCACTGACATATCCAAATGATCTGGTAGAAATTAACAGTATAATTTAGTAAACAGAGGAACTGGTAAAATACTTTAATAATTAGTTAATTAAATAATAATAAAATATATCCGTGGACTCGCCCCAAATGGGCGTCATCAGGTGTGGGTATGTACCTTGTACCGTACCGTACCTTGTTGTAGTTTCTTCTGGAAGCTGACGAGAGTGGTTTAGGCAAAGGTTTCCATTTTATTTTATTATTTTATTTTATTTATTTCCAGGCAAGACAATACAGTACAATAGATAAGAGAAACAAATGACAAAAACAAAAAGCCTGAGGATTACCTAAAAGCGAACTTAATCACTATCTAAAGGCTCTCCAAAACATTAAAAAGACAAACATTAAAGGCAGGCTCAGGTCGACACGGAACTGAAAGGAACTCAACTCAACTCAACTCGTCGACATGAGATAAAGTGCAAGACACTTTATCTGCTTTGCCTCTCTTCACCCAGGAGTATAAATGATGCGGTTACATGCCCCTGCGCTGATTATCAGCAGCAACACTTAGCATGTGGATCCAACGACCAGGGAAAAAGAACTTCAGCGCTTCGTAATTTTAATTTTGTGGAATTAATTAATTACATCTAGAATGCAATCATTTATTATTTTATCACTTTTATTGATTTTTTATGATTATGGTTATTATATGCTTATTATTTTATTTAATTATCATTGTAATAGTTTTTTTTTACTATTATAATGATTATTTTCACTCACAATGTGACTCTGATGATACAATATTTTTCTAAATTTATTACCGTATGTGTTCAACTGAATGATTTGTAGAGGCACACAGGAACTAAAATCGGAATAATTCAAAATCACGTGACGAGGACAGCCAATCATGTAGCTTGTGAATATTCGCTATTTTGTTCCTACAAGTTGTTCGAAAATTGTAAAGTTTGTATATGCTAGGTTTTGACTTATTCGTTCTAATTAAATAAGGCTGTACCACTATTCACAGATATTTCACTATTCGACACGATCAATACGAACGTCACAAACCATCGATAACCATGGACCTTCTAGAAGATCAGTGAGTACTGTATTATAATAATTTTACAAACTCTACCCGACGATGAGTGAGTACTCTAGTGTAATAATTTGTATCAAGTAAACATTAAGTAAACGAGCTAATATAATTATAATCTTAAAAGGAGTACAATTATGTACTGACAGACACATTAAAAGTTGTTATTGTAAAGAATTTAATTATAATTGTGATTACTGAAGTATAGTTATTTTGTTTTGCGAAATATCATTAACATGTTATTAACTATTTTTGAGTGATGAGGATAACAGCTGTCTCTTATACACATCTGTATAACAGTGATGTAAAAAATTATTATTCATGAGAAACCTGGTTTAGTCAACTCTATTTACAATGACATTGTAAGAAAAAGAATTCATACATTTCCTTGCTTGTTATGTCACAGAAACAAATTAGTACAGGCTATAGAGAGAGAGGACTGGCCAGCAGTAACAAACATTCTTGAAAATGAACCTCATCTTATTGAAACGCAGGATAAGGCAAGTACTAAGTTAAATTTATGAAGTGATTTTCTTAATTTCAGAATTTTTAGTGAATCATATTTTTAAAATAAGATACAGTTCCAACACAACACAAAGCTCTCAATTATTTGCACAAAATATGTGTACCTATTTTCTGGGATTTTTATGATTAAAAAAGATTAATCTGCCATACAGAATTGAAAACAAAATTGTCATTCTCTTTAATTAAAAAATGTGTGGCTTAATCATCAAAACGTCCGCGAAGACTCTACTGAGATCTAAATAAATCGGTCTAGCGCCCTCTCTAGTTCAATATATGTCGTACAAATTGTAATGCGTTTACTGTATAATTTTATGTAATGTATTATTGCGCTTTACTTACTTAGTCAAAATTTATAATAAATTTATTTCATTTTTCTTCATTTCAAATGTCCCACATAAAATAATTAACAGCCATTGTATAGCTTTAATCGAAATTGTCTCGCATTTATAGTAATTGTCTCGCATTTCTCTATTGTAGCGCCTTAGATCTACTCAGAAGTTTTAGTGTGTAGGCCTATACCAATGAGTGTTCATATTATAGACTAAAATATTGGTGAAAATAATTTATTTAACATAAATGGTGTTTTACTGTAATCAGAGAATTTAGAATAAGATATTGATAAAGATACAAAATCAACGGATTAAATCAATAAAAAAAAAAAATGAAATGCCCTTCCATGCTGAAATTAACCAACCATGAAGAGATGTTTATTTACTAATAATAAATAAAACAATATTGATGGTTTTTATACAGACATTTATTATTATTTAATTTAGCCATGTTTGGTGAATAATATTTGGCCATCTCATAGGCGAGGGGTCTATTTTGGTGTTTTTGTCTTCAAACCATTATTCTAATATTGTAACCAATATTATTACTTAACTTAATAAATGGTAAAATTATCTAACGCTGAACACAGCCCGGTATTTAGGTTTCGGGGATTGAAAATATCTTTATTATGAGCATTTATTACTATCCTCTACCATTCACACTGTACTAAAGAAATATCAACATTTCCACAATAATTGCATTTTATAAAGGAAGTTCTCGTTTAAAATGCACCATGCTCAATTAAACCACATTGTCATTCTTGTTAAGTACAAGCCGTGTGGCCAATATACATTTTATTTATATTTGGCCTACAAATTAGTTTGTTAGTTGATAAACTTCCGCATTGATAAGTTTCCCTGATAACTAAAAAAACGAGTCTAGCGCCCTCTGTAGTTCAACAATATTTATTTGAACTTGCACTTTTACGATATCGATGGCATTCAATATCAAAGATGTGTATAAGAGACAGCTTATAACTTGAATATAGGTCCGCTGTACCGTATTATCATGCGCGTTTTGCCTGGATAGTTAAAGACCGCTTGGATTAAAACGGTATCACTGGCATAGCCAAATGATCTGGTAGAAATTAACAGTATAATTTAGTAAACAGAGGAACTGGTAAAATACTTTAATAATTAGTTAATTAAATAATAATAAAATATATCCATGAGCTCGCCACAAATGGGCGTCATCAGGTGTGGGTATGTACCTTGTACCGTACCTAGTTGACGAGAGTGGTTTAGGCAAAGGTTTCCATTACATCTATAATGCAATCATTTATTATTTTATCACTTTTATTGATTTTTATGATTATGGTTATTAGGCCTATTATTTTATTTAATTATCATTGTAATAGTTTTTTTTACTATTATAATGATTATTTTCACTCACAATGTCTGATGATACAATATTTTCTAAATTTATTACCGTATGTATTCAACCGAATGATTTGTAGAGGCACACAGGAACTAGAAGCGGAATAATTCAAAATCACGTGACGAGGACAGCCAATCATGTAGCTTGTGAATATTCGCTATTTTGTTCCTACAAGTTGTTCGAAAAAGTAAAGTTTGTGTATGCTAGGTTTTGACTTATTCGTTCTAATTAAATAAGGCCTGTCTCTTATACACATCTAGATGTGTATAAGAGACAGCTATTATTTCCTGGGGGTTCGCCTGTATCCTGGTAGGTCTGTGGTCTGATGTATGATACTCACCTTGCAGTTTTGAATCCCGAGAGACACCTTTTTTCATATAACTGAAATAAGGGAACTTTTCATTGATGGGCTATGAT